TCAAACCAAAACATATACTGTATATATAACTATATATACCAAAAACCAAAACGTCGTATGTGTGTATATGATTGACCTTAAAGTACTAACACACATAATATAAATTCCTAAAACTAAATTACGACCAAGCAATGATCTTGATCTTCAATTAAGCTTGACTTGGTATCTCGGGATGAAGCTTGAACTTGTATCTTGAACTTGAATAGCAAGGCTTCACCGACATTCCGCCAACCTCCTTTGCGTATGATCGTTGAAGCTCTTCCATCCATCCTCCAACTACGTTGTTTCGTCTACAAAACATGGATGCACAAACACTAGACAACAACATTAGTAATAAAGATGTTTGTTAAACATCATCACAAATAGAAGGCCAACACCCTCTTGCCTAGATTTATTTCATGCTTATAGAGTAGATTTATTTTCTTGCATTTAATTCTTGCAATTTTATTTTGTAGTTTAGATTTTGCAATTTATTTTGTAGTTAGATTTTAATTTCTTATACTATTCACCTTGAGGCTAGAACCCTCTTGGGTTTAGTTTTTCTTTTTGTTTATTTTTATTTTGTTTGATTCGCCTTTAGGCTAGAACCCTCTAGGGAATCACCCTTTTCTAAGAAGTGGGTTCAATTTTAGATTACTCATATCTATAATTGAATCCACCATCTTTAATTTCTTGCATTTTCTTTTATTCTAGATTTTTGTTCTTCATTCTTGATTTTTTTTTATTATTTCTTGATTTTATTCATTTTTTCCTTCTCACCTTATTGATCATACTCATTCTTTTTCAAATCCACTCTCACTTACACTTTGCATCATTTACACACCATTTTCACTCTCTCAATCTCTTCACAATCACATTCACTTATCACTCCTATTTGTCATGCATACAAAATAAGAACCAATTTTATATTTTCTCCTACAAAACACCTTCCTCGTGGGATCGATATCTTAAATACTATAACTTGACACGGTTGTGCACTTGCAACTTTTTGGTACATGTTTATGCCGCATCACTAGTCGATACCTTAAGTTTTCTTCTTGTACCTCCACCAATGTTGTAGGCACATTTACCGCCTATACGATAGACGGATCTAACGATATTCTGTGATTGTCGATCAAACGTCTTGATGTGCTAAAGACGGATTCCGAATCTACTGTAGAGACCTACACTGTTAGTAAGTCACGAGCCATGATGAAAAGTATAGGACATGAAATTATTCCATATACTCTCCACCATTGCAAAATATCGAAATCAACATTATTTTGAGGTTTTACTAAGAAGAAATTTTCTAAATAAACTCATTCATAAATTTTTTTCTAAAAATAGACCCCCTTGAGTTTTTTTACAAAAATCGACTCATTTTGTCTTAATCCAGTTTCTAAATAGTCAGGGTTGCCAACCCCAACCATTTAGTGCATAGAATGTTAAAATTTAGGGTTATAATTATGGCTTTATAACCTCCTAAATAGTCGGGGTTGGCATTCCCGACTATTTAGGAACCTGATTAAGATAAAATGGGTTTATTTTTGTAAATAAAACTCAATGGGGTTTATTTTTAGAAAAAAAAATGAATGAGTTTATTTAGAAAATTTCTTCTTTTACTAAACGTGCAGCTAAATATTGTTCAATTTTAGAATTTTTTTTTAAATGATGATCCTGATCCAGATCCACAGCTACTACTAGTTAGCCTCTCTATCATCAATTGCCTATCAAAAAGCTTACATTTGCCCTGTCTTGCGCTTGTAGAAGCGGTAGGTTGAGGTGTACTTGCACCATATTTACATGCATACTCATCAAATAATATTAAAAAATTAATAATTTTATGATGAGTAAGAGCAATAATAGTCTGATCGACCACTATCAGTGTCTATTATCATGTTTTCATACAAAGAATTTAACAAACTTTGAATGCCAATTATCCTTCAAGCATAAATCAATAAGATTCCCCACGCCAAAAATAATAGGAATAGGTCTAAAATATTTATTAAATTTACTTTCCATTTCAAAAATCATGTTTGAAAATTAATTATCATGTGATGAGTATTAAAAAAGTATGAATATTTAAAATTTGTAAAATAGCTTGAGTAATAGTTGGATAATAACAACTAAATATTAACATGGTAGCTTTATAAAAAAAACTTGTAGCATTTCTTTTACACAACTTATAATTTCCCATTTATTATTATTTATTCCATACATATTACTAGAGCTAGAACTAGAAGTATAGAAAGCAATAAAATTATTTATAATTTCTTTATACTCTATTGATACATTTAACATTACATAGGTAAAATTCCATCTGTGATCAACATCTTTAAGAATTAACTTAGGTTTCATTTTTTTATCTACACAATTATTTTTCATCTTTTAAGTCTTTGTTCAGAAGCATTATAAGCATAAGTTATAACCCTAACTTTTTTCTATCATTGGTTTAATTTCATTAAATGCACTTTGAATAATTTAATTTAAAATATAACACATTCATCTAATATGAAAAATATCACCCTAGCATGACAATAGCAAAGATGATTTGATATGATCTACAACTATATTATTATTACTTGCATTATCTAGTGAATTTTTAAAAATTTCTAACTTTGAAAGTTCTTTCACTATTAAATATGAAACATTTACACTAGTGTATGAATCTTCAAATAAAATAAAAGAAATAAATATTTGTCAAGTGTCATCAATCCATTGTGCTATGATACATAAATAAATAGTTTGTGCTCTAGATATATAAATATCAGAAGTTAGATAAAAATTACAGTCTAAGCTTTAAAAATAAGAAATTATTTTTATTTATTTTTCTCCTAATAATATTTTAATATATCACGATGACAAGATTGACAATAAAATTTTTAAAATGCGGGATAAATACCATCTCTAATCATATCCTCAAATTCATCATCTTCTACTAATTTAAAATGAAGATTTTTTTAAGAATAATAAACCTCATGATGCATTTCCTGACTTTAATTGTGTCATTATTCCATAAGCCGAGGCTATCAGAGGTAGATGATTAAGAGAGTAGTGATTGGTGGATGTCTCCTTGAGACATTGCATACACTCTGCTGTGTTTTTCCAAATGGTGTTTGATATGGTTGGTGTCACTCTTATATGAGCTTGAAAGATATGGCTGCGCGACACATATTTGATTTATTTTTGTGAGAAGTTTGTCATGTTGATCCCTGGTGAATTCTATCTTCTCAAAGAAATTCTATACATAGAATCTCGACCTTTTAGGAGCTCTAAGTGTTGGATCATCGCCACCAGATTTGGGATCAACATCAGTAGTAGGACGAGTGGCTGTAGAAGTAGTAGGACTCATTTTGGTGTCGAGAGTTGAATTTTGTCCGTCATAATCGGAGGATAAACCATTAAAATTAGAGAATTAAAGAGTATTATAGAGTAGAAGAGAGAATAAGAGAATATAATAATGTATTGGAGAGAATAAAAGAGTATTAGAGAAGTAGATCGGTCTTAGATGAGAAAAATAAATGAAAACTCCTCTTTTTATAAAGGCAGCCCCAAGCCAAATGATCGAAATACCCTCAAATTTTGGTCATTTTAACCTTTTGGGGGTATTTTGGTCATTTGATAAAAAATACCCATTATTGTCGTCTATTTTATCAGCCAAAATTGGGTTGGGTCCGGTTAGCCATTCGGTCCAACAGCTAGATTTTTAGCTATTAGACCAGGCCAGGTCCGGGCCGCTAGGTCCAACGGCTACTTTTTTTACTGTTGGACCGGTCCAAAATC